ATAATGATCGGTGATTACCTTGAATTTCACGCCTTCTACATATGGTCGAAACTTTTCGATTCCAAACAAAACGGCAGCAAGCTCAAGCTCTGTTACGGTGTACTTTCGCTCCTGATCAGTTATCGTTCTACTAGCGAAAGCACAGACCAACTCTTGCCCATCTTCTGCCTTCTGCGTTAATACTGCTCCTAACCCTACCATCGATGCATCACACTGAATATAAAACATCTTGGTGTAATCTGGGTTTGCTAAGATTGGGGCTGTCACTAACGCTTCCTTTATTTTTATAAAACATCTGTCTGCTTCCTCCGTCCACACAAGTCGCTGCGCCTTCTTCTTTCCTTTTATCAAATATGTCATGGGAGATGTCATAGATGAGTAATCCTTTATAAATCGCCTGTACCACCCGACGGTACCTATAAAGCGTTTCATCTGGGTCACGGTCTCGGGTCTTGGAAAGTCCAACATTGCCGCTACTTTTTCTGGGTCAGTCCTCAGTCCATTCTCGTCTACGACGAAACCAAGGTATTTGAGTGATGGTCGGCAAAATTCGCACTTGTCTACATTCACAGTTAGATTTGCCTCCTTAAGCCTTCGGTAAACTTCGCCCAAGACTTCCAGATGCTTGTCGAAAGTGGGGGTAGCGATAATTACGTCATCCAGGTAGACGAACACATACGGGTCAAGTGATGGTCCTAAAACTGAGTCCATCAGGCGTTGTTGGGTTTGTGCTGCATTTGTTAGACCAAAAGGCATGACTACGAACTCATATAGTCCTCTTCCTGGAACAGTGAAAGCACATTTCTCTCTAGATGCTGGGTCCAGGTTAACTTGCCAAAATGCGGATTTAAGATCTACGCTAGATAGGTATTTAGCTCCGGTTAACTTATTCAAGATGTTATCGACTATTGGCAAAGGGTATGCATCACGCTTAGTGACAGCATTGAGCTTACGTCCATCAAAACATAACCTGTACGTACCATCTGTCTTCTTAACTAACAGAATCGGGCTAGACCAAGGACTTTCCGATGGCTGCACTACCCCTAGCTCCAACATTTTACCTAGCTCTTTATAGATATGTTCCATCATGTACGGTGATAAGTTGTGTGGCCTTTGTTTGATCGGTTCACTGTCACCTGTATCTATCTTATGAACAGCCTTACTCGTCCTACCCAACTTGGTCCCATTTTTCCATGAAATGTCTTGAAACTTTTTGACCACCACTTCTAAATTGTTCAGTTGTTCCTCAGTCAGTCTTTCCTTCGGTTGGATTACATTAATCCGGCCAACTTTATTTGCTTCCTCTACAGAAATGGACCTTCTATTATAGCTCACTGATAGGTTAAATTGTTCGCAGAAGTCAGATCCCAGAATTAATTTCTGACATAACGATGGCACTACTAATACATTAACTATTTTCAACACTCCATCCACTTTAATAGGCAAATTTACAGAGCCTGCAATATTTTGTTTCTTTCCGTCTGCGGTACAGATGATAAAATTTGTGCTATCTGAGACATGAAGTTGGTAGCGGTCTACAATATATAATCCTCTCTTTCCTAAAACTGAATGACTTGCTCCACTGTCCAAAAGCGCTATGACTTCCTCCCCAAAAATGTCCGCTTCAATGTATGGCCTATTGTCACCCGGTTTTTTGACGAATAACGCGTTGTTGTTGGAGATTTCTGGTTTGTTTCTACAAAAATTACTGACCTGCACCAATTATCCCATTCGGCTTTGGAGGTTTTTATATGGGAGCGCCGTTCTACGCGGAACTCCCTGCATTCCCGTTTTTTGAACACTTAGTACAGTTTGGGCGGATTACTCCTGGCTTTCCACATCCATGACATACAACTTCCTTCTGGTACCTAGACTTGCAGTCTCTCTTCATGTGCCCTACTCCGTTGCATCTGAAGCATCTAAATTCACTTACGGCTCCTCCACTGACTTCCATTTCTCTTGTCAAAAAGGCTAAATCCGGTTCTAAGGTGGAAACATTGCGTTTTGGAGGTGGTTGGTACTTCTTTTGGATCATGTTAGCGTCCTCTAAAATTCTACATACTTCGGTGAGCTTCTCTATAGTTGTAATATTCTGGAGAGCTATTTGAACTTGGTAGCACGGCAATATGTTTCCACGGATCACATCGAGCTGGACTTTTTCCTTTGGCACATCTGTCAGTCGATTGAACATGTTAATCATGGTAGCTATGTACACTGTCACCTTTTCAGATTGACCTTGAGTCCGGTTTCTTATTTCGGTCCACAACTCATTATCAAAGTTCCTCGGTAAGAAATCTCTACGTAAAGCCTTTTTTAAACCCTCCCAATCTTCTACTGAGCTTTTCACTGCTCTAAACCATATTAAGGCCTGGTCTTTGAATAAATCCACGGCTGAATCATACAGTGTGGCTTCCGAGGTGTGTCTCGCTACTCTTAATTCTTCTACTCGTTGTAAAAAACTGTTTACCGAACCGTTCTTGGTAGTGCCATCGAAAGTTACACCCCACTTATAAACGGGAGTGGTTAATTTGTTGGGCACCGGACTGGCCTGGGAGTGTGATGGTACGCTAGTGTTTTCCTCCATAATGTCGTTCATTTCGCACATAAACGAGTTTAAGAGTATAAGGCTCTCGCCTCTGTATTCTGCTTGCTCAGGCTTTGCTTCCGCATCTGGGATCCTTTTCAACCGATTCGTCAGGTGACAATATCTGGATTTAAACCTTTTATAAACATCTTCCTTGGTACCATCAAAGTCATCTTTTACTTCCTTCAGGGTCTTCAAGCTTGTAGTTATTTCAGTCTTCTCGACTGCGAACTCAAAATCAGTAGGAGCCATATATACAACTGGGTTTTGGGACTCTTGTCTAAGGCACTCCTTTAAACATCTCCGCTTAACAGACATATCGGAGTTTTCGTTAAAAAGTTTTCTTATTTTTAATTCATAGTTGATCTCGTGAGTACGTAAGTGAGTAGGATCCATCGCAAAAATTAATACGTAACAACGAGAGCAATATACCTTTAAATTTACCAAGACGCACCACACAACTAATTAATTTACTTTTTAACTCCCTTTTTTTTTTTAACTACCTGACAAGCTAATAATGAAGATCAGTATGTACCCTACTATAGTAGTATAACTGCTAATAAACTTAAAAACTTGTATTGTTGATATAGGGATGGGATAAAAGGGATAGGGACAACCCGGATGTTACCTCGAAAAATAGGCAGCTAAATAAAATTCTGGCCCCACGTTGGGCGCCACTTTGTAACCTTTTGTTTTTTTTATTGGGTTTTATTATTAATTATTATTTATTCTAAGGTTAAACACAATCGACCTGCTCTTACCTATACTCGGAGGCTGGGCATGGGTTCAAAAAACTTTATTAATATTTGGGCGCCAGTCGTGACCAAATCGACAGGTAGTCTGAGGAATATCAACAATACTAAGTTTAAACTATCAATATAACTATTTATTGTGATTATAAAATTAATAAAACAATATAGTAGAAAACCTTTAAAAAGTAAACGTGGCAACACTGTCGCATTAGAACTACTTATACATTTTATCTACCTACAATACAATGTCAAAATCTAACCTTAACCTAAACTTACAACTAAACTTAAAACTAAACAAATTCGTGTAATATTGTAGAGGTAAGTAACGAAATATTCACTTTTTGTTCGCTAATGAGATATGTTTTTAGCATGACACTTTGTACACCACAAATGTAAGTACTTTAAAACTACTACCTTAACAACCGGACAAGTGGATATGGTACAGGTGGTTACTGTCTTCAAAATTAATGTCTCCCAATCAGTTTCGTCTAGGTAGTCACACACCCATGACAAGCACTCTACGGTAAGGGCAAAACTTGACAAAAAAATACCATATGTCAACTCCGATTCAAGGTTCCAAAAAATTCAACCAACAATTGAACAGTATTAAACCAACAATTCCATACAAATCCAAACAGCCTAAAAGAAACAATCCTCTCTAGAATCCACACCCTGACTTTTTTGTAAAATTTGTCAACTGTCATTTTCAAGTAGGTATTTTTTTATATATTTTTTTAACAAAAAAAACTAAAATACCACATGGCACTGTGACTAATAAAAATAATTTAAAACATAAAAATTCACTTACAAATTACTGGAATTATCATTCTTAAAGAGACTATTGATTAAATGTATATTTTTGAATAATATAAAAGTATTAAAATAAAACTAAACCTACCTAGATGGATTTTGGCTGTTATTTTTAATAAAATTATTAGAATCAACTTCTTCACACTATTGTACTTAATCAGCAACTTAAAGCTTCGTTATCAGGCACAACTGCCTTCAGCAATAGCTCAATCGAAAAGAAAATGATTTGCAAAATGTCTTAGGCAAAAAATTTAAGGTAAGTGGGGGACCTTTAGGGATTTTTACTTTCCAATTGTTAATGACAATTGACAGACTAATTGACTTAACCAAATTTTTGCAAAGCAATTGTTTTATGTCTATTTCTCAAAATTACTTATTAAGTTTACTAATTTGCTTATATATATATATTTTTTTTAGGATTCTAGCAGGAGATTGCTTTCTTCGTTGAAGACTAGGACAATATTTCCACTAAACGAACACACCCAGAACACTACATGAACATTTACAAACATGTAACTTTTAAATTAAATAAATGATATTTTTATATTAAGGTATGGTATTATTTTATTATTACTTTTTTTTAACGTTAATGTTACCTAGAAATATAGACCGTTACAATTGTATTGCACCCATCTGACCCAAACCCAATAAGATTATGGAAAGGAATTTTATGTAAATCTAGAAGAGTGGATAGTTTACTATAAATATGTTGCGCTAAAACAAAAGTTAAAACATTTAAAAAAAGAAGTAGGTACCTATAATACAATAAAATTTTAATTACTACATCAGAAAACTTACAAATTTTGTAATTTAAATTTAATTTTTCATGATAATTATATACTATCATACTGTACCTGTAGCTCCCTCATTAGCTTCATTAAAATTTTTAGAAAATATATCTACCAAACCCAATGATTGCACTTCTACTTTATTTGTCACATCATTAAAATATCTAGTACATACACTTGATTTTACATTTCCAATGTCAGTGGATTCATCTATAAGTAAGCTAAATTTGTGTGTTTGTAAATATTTAACATGCTCTTCTAAAATATCAGGAGCCAGAACATTATTTACAATATTGGTTGCTTTGGTTCTAGATAGGTGCAACCCTTGAATAATTTTGGAATCAGTGACTTTTGATTTTAATAGCCTTGTTAAGTGATCTATAGCCAGAAAGGGTATATTGTGCTCTGTCAGAAAAGATGTTAAGCCGATCTCCAGGTCTTTGACTTTAAGGTCTAAAACATGCTGTTCTTTATTTAAGTTTAACGTTTCTTGAATTGTTTTTTGTTGTGGCACCATTATAGTTTTTACATTTTTTATATGCTTAGCTCTTTTTGAATGCAGCTTTATTACAGGAATGTCTGCTTTTAGGATGGTTTGACATACTAGAAACACAAAATAAAAATCTATCTGGTTCAATATAGGAATTTGAAACAGGCATTGCACTATTGAACCAGATAGAATTCCATACCTGAAAAACCATATAGAAAAGTGATTTCTATATGGATTGCCATATAGGTTCATATTGCTCTATCTGGCCCAATATGGTTTGGGTGTGAAAAAATTATTACCATATACATCCATATTTAACCATATAGGGGAATCTATATGGTTTAATATGCAATTTTCGTTTAAATATATATACATTTTAAAATGGAATTCCATAATTAACCATATAGGGAAACCTATATGGAAAGACACATAAAACAGAAACCAGATAAATCCATATAAAAATTATATAATAAAGTTGTACATTTTAAAATGAAATTCCATATTAAACCATATAGATTCCAAAGTGTAAACCAGGTTGTTCCATATAGGACATACATATAAATCCATATTAGTTTCCTTATCTGGATCAATATGGGTTCTATAGGGCATTTTTAATAGGGTGGGCAACGGGATCGTTTATAAGTGACCTCGCGTACGTTAAAAGGACGCGTGCGCCAAATCTCAGCCAGTTTGACGCGTTGAAGCCGATATCAAGTGACATGGCCAGCCAATGGCATCAGCCGTAAAATTAGCAGACGAGCTAAATTCATTAATATTGCGGTTCGGCAAATTAAAAATGGGTCCATTTTCCCAAAGTATGAGACATCAGACGAAATCAAAACACACGCACTGAGGAACCAGCTGACGTTTGAAGGTGAGCAAAAGCGCGCCTTTGAAACTCGTAAATGGGGTCGCGTCAGGAAGAACGCGTTGACGCGAAGGCCCAGGAAACGCACGCAAACCTCAAACGCACGAGTTAAAGATGTTGGATAAAAACACAAGTTTTTATGAACACCAAATATTTATTGAAGAAAGATTAACAACTTATTGCTTTGACGATCTAATCAACACTAATTACAAAAATGGATTTTATAAAGACAGGAAAAGTACAAGTTGCTTATTTAGTAGAAATCGAAAAGTGAACAACATGGATTTATATATCTAAACGGATGTAACATGATTTTATTTTACTATTTATTATTAAGTATTTGATATGTAGGTATTTCCTTTAAGAGTATCAGGTCGCTGTACTGGATGCAGGGTCGGCGTCCGTAACACCTCCCTCCTTAAGAAAAAGCTCCAGGGTTTCTCTCGTAATTCTGGGGCGATTCAGGAAGTGGTGGATCCTCTTCTTTTTCTTTAACAGAATGTATGTGAAGGCTAGCATAAAAACAACACATGATGTCGATATGCTCCAACTGATGTAGGTGGCAACCGGGTGCAAATGAAGGGGTTGGATGGGTGTTATGTCGAACCCAGTGGGGATGTCCGTTTTCTGTAACATAATTTTGTGTTTTGCCGGAGGTAAAATTCAGGTGTGACATCTTCTTCTTCATTGGTACATCGGATCGTGTAGCAATCGACTGTTATTGATTGGTTACACCGGAATGTTTTCATATACAATCTCTGATTCGGCTTTGGCTGTTGTGCATCGATGTGGTTTTAATATGGAACAATTGCTGGTGGTTTTCTTATTGCAGAAAAAATGTCTAGTTGTTATCTGCTGGAAGGCTTCGAACCAATCGTTGTGGGAGTTCCATGACGTTGGTGGCAGGATAAGAGTTTTTTCTTCATTGGGTATTGGGAAAACTTTGATTAGAGGAAAGGATTTGATGTTAAGGATTGGAATTTTCAAAATCAATATAATTTTATGGTTAGTGTGAATTAAAATAGTTTGAGAGTATTCAAGCAGATTAGTTGAAATAATTTGATTAGGATCGTAAAATTTTTCTAATTCTTCTTCTAATTTATTAATTTCATCGGCAGAAAATAGTTCTAAATTTGTCAAATTTATTTTTGAAAATGTTATTGTACGTAAAAGCATTAATAAAAAAATCATTTACGTGTTCGATATTTGCGATATTAATTTGTGCTTCATGAATTCCTAAATCACTTTCTATATTGTGTAAATATTTTTTCAGTTGTTTATTATTATTATTAAAAGTATCAATTATTAAATGAAATCTCTCTTGAATATGCTGTGCATTTGAAATGAGTTTATTAATTTTGATTGATTGTTCGTCTGTTTGTCCGAAATTGATTTTATATTTTTATTGATTATTTCAAGATTGTCATTGTCTGGGTTACCAGTGATGAACTTAATAGTAGACCCCAAAAAATTTGCTAGTCCTCTTTTTTTTCGAATAAATGTTAATTTATGAAAATTATTAATTGCTTCTTTAAGTTTTGTATTGTAAATTCTGCTTAAAGGTGTTTCATTATTCATAAAGTGCATTGAATTTAGGCTTTCTTGAATTTTATGAAGGTTAATGGAAACGGTGAATCTATGGAAATGTGAAAATTCTTGTTGGGTTCGGGAATCATAGGGATAAAACCCATTATTAGGAATACAAGAATAAGCAAGGATATAGCTGTAACAAGAAATTTTGTTTATTTACGGGGACGTTTAATTTTCCTAACATTATTTTTAGTTTCTATTTTAGTTTTAGGATGCACTGTATAAATGATGTCTTTAATTTCGTTGTCTTGATTTTTTAATAGTTCTTTTCTGTAGGGTTTTTCGGGTTTAGATCTTCTAGCTGTACAAACATATACTGGACTGTCAGAATTAATTTTGGGCTGATCTGTTCGGGTTTCGTTAATTTTGGCAATATTGCAATCGGCTTTTGTTTTTTGCTTTGTATAAACTTGTTTGATAAATGGTAGAATTTCGTTTTTTCTGTCTTGATTATATTTTTCGTAAATTGTCAGATTATTGTCAAAAAGTGTCTCATGTTCGTAGGGTCCGTAGATTAGGGAAAATGGAGAGAAACCTGTGGCTGAATGTATGGATTGGTTGTAAATAGTAATGGCAGATATCATACGTTCTATAATATTTTTTTCAGAGGATTCTAAAACACGTAATTTTTCAATTATTGTAGAATGTAGACGTTCGACAGGTGAGTTGGATGAAGAGTTAGATCTGGATGTATAGTGAATGTTAATTTTATGGAGATTGAAAAATTCGTTAACTACTTTATTTTTGAACTCGAGACCTTGATCAAAAACAATGTTTTTGGGAAAATTGTGGTGTGAAAAATAGTGTCTTAATTTGGAGAGAATTTGGAGTGAAGTTGTATTTTCTACGTGATAGGCTTGGGCGTATTTTGTGAAAGGGTCGATTATCGTCAAAAATTTATGTTTCGAATAGCTAAATATATCAATATGAAGTGTCTTAAAAGGGAGAGAAGGAAGTAAAGGACCTTTAAATGGTGTTTTAATAGGATTTCTTTCGTATTTGGATGTTAAACAGATTTCGCATTTATTTATAATTGAAGTTATTAAATTTTTCATATTTGGCCAATAATATTTTCTACGCTGTGATAATTATTAACAATTTCAGATTGATTTTCGATTCTTCAACTTTAAACTGACAAAGAATAATTTTTAGTGTTGTATTAAATAAGGATGAAAGAATTTTTTCTAGAATAGGACGTACATTTTCGTCATACAGATAAATATAGTACGTCTTTTGAAGGTCAATGATATGTTTTAAAGTTGATGACAAATGTTTTTCTAAATTATTTAAAACAACAGTAATTAAATAAATAGTTTTATTGAATCGGACTGTAATAGTGATTGAATGGGACTGTAATGTTCCTATCCGTACAAAAATTTGGTTCTGAAATTTGTTTATACATTCCTCCGAAATGGGTAAAGTACAGGAAATATTTTCCTTTTGAGAGTGGACTGTAGATTTTCCGGAAACTACGGATTTGGGTGCTTGTGGATTATAATCGGCAGGTGCATGGATAGTGACAATTTCATCAAAATCTACATTAACCATTAGTGAATCATTATCCGAGTCAGAATTGTGAACGTTAATGTCAACAAGAGAGAGGGCGTCAGCGACAACATTTTCTTTACCTTTTTTATAGGAAATGGTATAGTCAAATTCGTCTAATTTGATTTTCCATCGAATTAATCAGGAATTAGGTGTCTAACTATTGAGCCAAACGAGGGGATTATGATCGGTTTCAATATTAAATTTTTGTCCAAAAAGGTAGGGTCGAAAAATTTTTGTTGAGGCAACTATAGCTAATAGTTCCTTCTCAATCGTGGACTAGTTTCGTTCTGCAGAATTTAGTGTTCGGGAATAAAAGGCAACGGGTTTGGACTCTTGGGATAAAACTGAACCTATAGCGATATCGAATGCGTCACTTGTCAAGGTGAATGTTTTGTTAAAATCGGGATATTGTAGGATTGGTGAATGGGTAATTAGGTTTTTGCACTGTTCGAAAGCAGAAATATAACGTGGATCATGAATGTTGATTTTTTTCCTTTTCTTGTACATTTATTAATTGGATAAACAATTTTTGCGAAATTTGGAATAAAACGTCTATAGTAGCCTATTAAACCGAGAAAAGATTTGATTTCTTTAAGAGATTTAGGTATGGGGAAATTTTCAATAGCGGCTATTTTTTTGGATTTGGCTGAAGGCCTTTATCTGTTACAATGTGCCCTAAAAATTCAACTTTTTTAGTAAGGAACTCACTTTTGTCGATTTGTATCTTCAAATTTGCGGATTTTAAACAAGAGAAAATTAATTTAAGGTCGTTAATATGTTCTTGAAGAGATCGAGAGAAGACGATGACATCGTCCATATATACAAAACATCGCGATGCATCGTTTGTAAATATGATATTTTAGAATTTCGTCCATCATTCTCTGAAATGTTGCCGGGGCATTTTTGAGTCCGAACGCCATTCGAAGATACTCAAAATGACCATTTGACACAAAGAAAGCAGTTTTGCTAATCGATTCTTCAGACATCGGAATTTGATGGAAACCTTGTGCAAGGTCCAGAC